AATATATATATATATTCGAAATAGTAAAACGTATGTAGAACAAATTCTTTACACAATAGAGATCATAGGCATATCATAAATACTATGTATAGTTCTTTTCCTCTTGTCAAAAGTCCACTTAGGCCTATTCAATTGCTTTAGAATTTCAGCTGACAAGCCAAACTACCTTTCTCTATCTCTTTCGCACTAGTATTCCGTGTATAATTCACTTACAATTATAGCGTATACCATTGTCGTATACCGCTCTTATAGTAATCGTTTGGTTCTCGTACTTCAGATAACATCTGTTCTTTTTGTCAAAGTGCACTCAGGCTGGTTCAGTTACTTTGGAACTCGCTTTGACTCGCTTTTATACTATACTTCTTATCTCTTTTAAAATTGTTAGTTTTATTCTAAAATATTAATCGTTAGGCTTTCACTCCTACAGCAGTGAACTTTACGTTTAACTTTCCTCCGCCGATCTTCTAATTCCCGTAACTTCACTTTCTCGTCTGCTCTTTCTGCCTGCTGTTCCCGCTCGTCTCACACTATTTATATGTTTATCACTTAATCGTCTGCTCACTTCTAGAAATCTCTATATCTTCGACATCAATAAATTTCACGCGACGTTCGATACCCTCAACAACAATGAATTATAAACACAACTTCCAATGATCGTCTGCTTTTAACTCTCTTATTATAAAAAAATAAACAATCATGAAATATGAACTCACGAAATAATTAATTAATAATGCCTACACTTAACAGTCTTTTATATCATGACAATTATAATCTTCTTTAACTTCTGTTTCAGCAACAAGATGTTCAGAACTAGAATCTGAGAAATCGTTATTATTGCACTCTTATTGTATATTATCTATATAATTAAATGTTAAGTTATTCGAAACGTTTATTAATTGTGAAAGTCAAATCAAATTTTCGTCTTTAGAAGTAATGGTAAGTTGCAAAGACTTGTTTGTTTTAGAATTTTAATATAAAGCTATAAAACAAGGTTATTTGCGCATAGCCGTCCTTAATTCGGAACTGATAAGCTAGAGGAAAAGCAGTTATTCAACAGCATCCACCGCCAGTTTTTGAATTACTTTTGGTTGACAGCAAAGAACACCAAAAATGCAGAGCGCGTTTATGTGGTAACGGGTAGCAAACATTAATCCTCGAATTAACATTGTTGGTATGCTAACTATTGTGCAACACCCAGCTTCACATATATAAATATATATATATGTGTGTGCGTGTGTGTTTACATATATTATAATAAACATAAATATATTTCTGTCAACAATGAATTTAAATATTTATATATTATGGAATTACGGTTTTTATAAGTATCACACCCATGCTCTACCAGCGTTCATTAATAGGTGTATAGATATAGTTATGCTCGTTGAGAGTCCACATATTATTTATCAGCCTTAGCAGTAATGTAACGGTACTTCTTAAGTAAATGTACACTTGGATTGTTCAAGATTTACCTGAGTGAGTTTCTACGTGATATTCAGAAATGCATTGCTGGTCTTTTAAATCTAGCCGCATGTTTTACAGTTTTTTCATGTGCTTCGTATGAGCAACAACTCTCCCTGATAAAGACATACAACAGCCATTTAGCGTCACGTGATAAAACTAGACCACGCTCAGTTTTTACAAATATTCTGTATATTTTATTGGGTTATTGTTTGCGAGCACTACCTTGACCTACCGATGTATTTTGGAGTGCCAAGAAACGATCTAACAGCAATTTAATTTTTGGCCTAGTTTTTTTGCAGCATATTTATTAAATATGCATTAGCTTTGAAGAATTATTTGATGGATATCTTTATCGATACTGCTTAATATAAGAAAGAGAGAGATAATATATATATATATATATAATTAGAGACAAACCATACCAGGATATCATTTGAAACTTTGAGTTTTCTTTTCGAGCTTCTTTTTAGTGGGGAGTTTTCAATTGATTTACCAGGACTTGGCATTAATTAGAAAAATTAAAGGAAATTTGAAAGATAAAGCATCATATAAAAGTGGCATTGATATAGGTTTTTATTTCAAAAACATGTTTGCATTATGTATACACATTGGTGAAAAAATGGAGGTACATTTGCCTGCACTTCAAACAGCTGGCAAGCAAGGATGTAGAAGTAATTTGACAGTTTGCAACACAGTCATGCTGGTGGAGCATGGCCTAATTCGACTCCTGATTGGTTGCAGACACCTGTAGCTTTACAAACTCGATGGTTTCTTATTAGGGAAACTTGTTTCTCACACTAAATCTTGCAATAGCCTGAACAATTATCGAAACTATTGGTACAACGGCGTAGTAGCATAGAGAGTTGTTACGATATATATGTGTATGCTGGCTCTGCTTCACTGAAGCATAACGGGATTATATTATTCAGAAGACCCAGTCTTCCAGCAATCAGCAAACCTTTCTCAGCCATAAACAAACGTGTATTGCTTATTGGTACAGAATGTGAGTATAACGATGGTTTGTTGATCTTCTGAAAAGCTGTAGTTATATAGCTTTGGAGCTTAATATACTTGAAGAGGTCTTTCTTTACAAGCACATGTAAAATACTGATAAATTCAAGTGTTTGTTATTTAAAATGCCCCGTTAATAACTACGTTTCTGTTATTGTTGAAGAGTGTCTATGTAAGTCATAGCACCGGTGATTCATGAAATCATTGACTTCTTTCAGAAAACAAAGCTAGTTTTTTGTTTGCCAATTGTCCAATTCGAGTTATGTTTACTTTTCAAAATCGACGTTTTAATTTATCGCACTGATTGTTAGGCCTAACGTGAAACCTCTGTGCATAATCGTAGATTCAGTGTTTTGACGAAAATAGCTGTGATAAAACAAATGGCCTACACCAATGAAATGATAAACATTCCATTAGACGAGTTACACGTAAGCTATGCTGGACGACAGAATTCAAATGACCCTCCTGCAGAAGGGCCAAGACAGGCGTTTTCTTCTAATAGTGAACCTGTAGCAACTGAAGATAACGGAAATAAACCTCAGGTAAATGTCTAAAACTAATAAAATTAAAAAGTAATAATTATAATCAACCTGATAATAATAATAATAATACTGACTTTTCTAGGCTGAAAGGTTTGCACTTCTTTTTCGAATAGTTTATAGTTTTACTTAGATTTACTATATGTATATTTGTGTAATTTATATTGGCTTTAGATGGTGTGGAAGAGAAATCGTAAACGAGGTTCATAGATTAAAACTTAATAGAAAATAAAATGTGTACACAGTAGCAGGAATTGTTGATAGTTTTGAAATAAGCATTTTCTTAAATCTCCAGAAAGTCTCGTTTTTTTACACAAACTTGATAACCATAAGTAAAACTAGCACATGACCCGTTAAAAATGACGGGACAAGTACTACGACCCCCACCCCATAGTATACTCTAACCTCACATTTCATAGCTAACTGAAAGTGAAATATATAAATTCTGTGAAATCAAGCTTGACCACCAAAGAGGCAGAAAAGTGCAGTCGAGGCAGTCAAACGTCGGTAAATTCCTTTGTGAGTCAATCAAATTTAAGATCATTCATGAAATAAATTCGTGACGCACTCATAGAATATTTTATTGGTAAAATCAGTTAGATTAACAACTTCTAATATAAAGAAAAGCCAGTGCGTTTTGTTAACACTACGTTCAAACAATAGCATTTATGTAGTGTTGCTTAGCAACAAAAGTGACACCTAATATTGTTGTTAGTCTATGTACTATAACTATAAAATGAAATGTAGAGACAACAAAACTGGAAAAGTATTTGTCGATTTGTCCCCGTTAATTAGAGGTTTGTTTTTTATTTAAAACGTTGAGGATATAACAGAATATAGCTCAATTCAGAAACGATTTAATTTAGTGTTTTCTTGTAGCAAAGCCACATTGGGCTACCTGCTGTGTCCACCGAGGGGAGTCGAACTCCTGATTTTAGCGTTATAAATCCGAAGACTTACCACTGTCCCACCGGAGGACGATTTAAGCTTAAAATTGAATCGATATTTTTATTTCATGATAAATTTTATGCACCTGGCTCTAGGCTAGGTGATTCCACACTACATCTTTACTTTAGGCTTATTATACCAACATTCACCACAGTTATAAGGTTTCACTGCACCCCCCCTCACGGCCCCCTTGCACTCCAGTCACCAAAATCGTAATGGGCAGACAGTAATCGAACTCTTTTATCTGAATAAATGCATTTTGGCTTTCATGGCTCCTCACTACTATTACGTCATTTTAACGTGTCTAATATCTAAGATGGTGAAACAGAGTTTTAGAAATTCGTTAAAAGTTCAGTTAGTGACGAACTCAATGAATTTCTTATTAATTTTATTGTGACGTTTCATCACTTATTAATCATTAAACCTATATTTCCCAAAAGGCACGATGCGGCACATACTAGTATATTGCAAGTGAACTGACGGCGTGCCACAAAATATTCCACTTTTCTATAACTGTTAATATATATATATATAATGTGATGACCGAGTGAAAATCTAATCTCAATTAATTTTATTCACCACTTTTTGCTTTTCGGGTGTTGTGAGGCTTTATTCTCACTTTGCTGTGAGTGCTGTAATTAGTGGTTTACCACATTTTTTTAGTAATTCCAAGTGTGCTTTGAACTTTGGGAAACATCGCACTAAACTATCACACTTTAGGTTTGAACATTGAGCGTTATAAGCGGGGTAATTTGTAATCATTGATACACATACAATTCAGCTGAGACATGGTATATTGTAATTCATTCGGACTGATGAGCGCTGGTACTTAGCGAACACTGAACACAAAGTAAAGTGTAGTTTAAATACTGTTGTTGCTGTGGCTTCTATTGTTGGACGGTAAAAATAAAAACTTCATAGATACATAACGTCTTGTTATAACTTCCAGTTACTTGCTAATTTTCTCGTACATACAATACTTATAATGTTTATAGTATACTGAAAACACAAACTTAAAATTTACAGCGATGAACTAACTAACAGACTGATTCATTAATCTTTAATCTCTGTCCTAATCTTTTAAGAAAATTCTAGTCATTAAGCTCGCCATGTGACGTTAGAAACTCCCTCTAGACAAACAATAACACAAACGTCTAAAAACAAAAACATTACAGCACTATTTATATACTTAATACTGTTACGACAGCGGAAGTCACGCGATTCTGGGAGCAAGCGCGCTGGCGTTTCTGGAAGGATCATGAATTTTCCTGGCAACTCTAGTTTGTTCGAGGCGCCCTCTTTTTTTAGTATATAAGTCTGGCGAGAAAAACCAACGCAATTGCATCGGCAGATAGATTGAAGAGATATAGATAGATATGCAGATAGATTGAAGATAGAGATAATTGAGTCAAGCAAACAGTACGCACCGTAAGTAAAGTGTGTGAATCACTGTGATTT